TTATTTTTAGTAAATTTATATAGTTGTGCAGCCATCACCACAATCCATCTTAAAACACTTCTATCACCCTTGAAAATTCCCGTGTGCCTATTTGCAGTCAGTCCCTGCTCCTGCCTCAGCCCCTTGCAACCTGATCTGCATTCTGTCTCTACAGCTTTGTCTCTCTAGAAATTTCAAATACACAGGATCATACAAAATGTGGATTTTTGTGTCCATCTCCTTTCACTTTGCATAATATTTTTGAGGTTCATCTCAAAATACCATGAGGTTCATGTTTTGTTGCACATATCAGTATAGTTTTTTTCTTTTCACTGCTGAGCAGTACGTTTCATTGTTGATCCGTTTACCAGCTGATGGACATTTGGATTGTTCCCAGGTTTGGGCTACTGTGAATAGTGCTGCTTCCTGGCTTACTCTTGGCCTGGTGCTTCAGGTTGTATGTGGGTCTGTGTGTGATGAACAAGGTGTAAAGGTCTATATCACTCACTGGTCCCTGAGCTGTCTGAGGGAATGACAGTGTCCACACCACTTCCCAACTCTAGAGGCTGGCTCCCAGGAGGGCTCCTTTCATGTAGCTGAACTCTAGACAATTTTTTGTGACTTTTGAAATCTTTGGAGAGTTGGATGTGAGCTTAAACAATGGGAGGCTATAAAAAAAGGGAAATTAAAAAGTGAATCCCAAATCTAAAAAATTTTTTTAAAAGTGGATAATAATAAGTACCTAAAAAATTGAGAGTTGAGAGACTGGAAAGCCAAGAACCAAATAGATCATAAATTCTGCTGGGTTCTCACCTGTTCTGGTGATGGCTTTCTAGAGTGATGTGTTCAGTCACTGTGATAAAAGTGCTGGAATAACATGAAAGATGGGACAAAAGAGACTGTGAAAAAAAATAGAGGGAAAACTTGCATTTGTTTTTCTCCTATTTCGCTTTCTAGTGTAATAAGGATGCTATTGATGTATTGATGTTTGCATCATGACTGCTAACCTAACAGCTTTCCCTGCATTCTCAATTCCTGAAACAGGCAGAAATAGGGAAAAAGTGAAGGTTGACAAAGTGAGTTCTGAGTGTCCTCAAGGAAGGAAAACATATTTTGGGGCTTTACAAATATATGTTGAAAAGAAAATGGCATCAAGGGAAAGAGATCTCATTAATAAAAGAGAAAGGGATGAGATTCAGAAAGATTATCTAAAGACTCAAGGGCCACTCTGCTATTTTAAATCTGTCTTGAATAACAATAAAACGATTTGAAAAGAATTAAGAAGTAGTGATAATCTGGTAAAAATAGGTATCTATAAAAAACACTAAAGGGAATACTTGAAAAATGTGAACACATACAAATCAGTATGTCCGGTGACATGCACTGGAGGGTGAGGGGAAATTAGCTCTAACGTGAAATTGTGTTGGGTTTTCCTCTGCAGAGTCATGAAGTCCCCAGGGGGAAAGTGGGAACATGAGGTGGGAGGAAGAAACAAGGCAACGTGGGCCCTATGTTTTAAAACAGAAGTGAAGAGGGGTAGAGACATTCTGAAAAGTCCAAATTAAGTGTGTGGTACAACAGTGGAGGCAAGGAGTGGAGGAGAGAGTTTAGCAATGCAGGCAATACCTACAAGAACATGGCATCCTAGGAAGAGTGCCAGTTAGGGATTCCAGGGAGAACAAAGACAAAATCAATTACTTTTTTTGGACCCAACTTTAAGGAGTGAATAGAATGAAAGTGATTTCATTCCCAGGTTTTAGCCAACCCGTTCTTCACCAGTCTCAGTGGTAATTACTGTGCTTGGGACAGCTATTCAGAGTGACCTGGCTCAGAGTACCATCAAACAGATGGGACAACCAGAAACAAAAGGTACCACATATGGTGATGTATCTGGGAGGAACACGGAATGTGTCTTCCAGATGCCTCAGGGATTGGGGAAATATTACCTCTTCTGAGACCACCTCTCCAGGGGACAGAAGGGCAGCCTAGAGGCAGAGTAACAGTTTACCTGACCAGCTCTAGGGTGTTCTTTATAGATTTTATAGGAAACACGGCTCAAACTCCAATGTATTCTAAAATCTACAAGCACATAAAATTCAGTCTGAAAAATAATCTCAAAGAGTAAAAAGAAGAATTTGATGTAAATTCCACTTTAAAAATCTAACAAGGGCTTACGAGCAATTTTGTATAATCTAAATTTGCAGGAAAATACGGTAACTCAATCCAAAGTCTGAAATTAAAAAAAAAAAATCACCCATTCCAAAGGTGGTACAAAACTCTCCCGACCACATGTGGATTGGTTTCAAAGGCTGCAGGGTTTTGGTCTTCCATTCTGTGGCTGCTTTGAGCATGTCCCAATTCCTGTTCATCTCTTCCTCCTCATCGCTGTTAGTCACTGTGTGGGTGGAAGGAGCCCTGATGATAGCTGTCTCGTGTTCTGTCAGGAGTGATGGAGTGGGTCCCCGGATTGTCATCACATGGCAGGTTGAGTAAGGAGGAGATAACTGAGCTCCTGACTGCAGGGTTGAGAGGAAAGGCTACGGCAGCCAAGTCTCCTTAGTCCCCCTTTCCAGCAGGGAGTCTGGCTCCACACAGAGAGTGAGGTCACCTTCCTGGTGGAGTTGGCAGGTCTCTCCTCTCTGGAACACTTCTCTCGGTGTCTGTCCTCTGACACCCTGGCTCCCAGGGCTGATGGTCATTTCCACGATGGGAGCCACCTTCCCTTATGAACTTGTGGGGTGAAGGTAAACTTCACCACATTAATAACCTGATGTGTCTTCTGGTCGGAAGCAGCATCTCAGGTACTTTTCCTGGTCCTGTTTTCTATCAAGGATGGACAACAATATGGTCCTAAATTGGCCACTGCAATTGGTGAGGTCAATTCTTATCTTTATCCTAGAGGCAGGGAAGTTACCTAAACTTTTAGCAGGCCTGAGGAGGTTGTTTCACCAGACAGTCCAGCTATGGCATGGAGGACAGTGTCCTGCCCTAAATCTCCCTTATCTACCACGCCCACCATTTTCTTGCCATGTGAGGCCACTAAAGGCCCCAACAAAGCCCAGTGACTTCCAACCAACATTCGGGGTTGCTTGCTAGCATAGGCTCTTAGAGGATCCACTAGAAAACGCACTTTTGCTATTTCCCCAGCAGGGTAATGGAAGCTGTGTGTGCTTTGGGAATAGCACTCCTTGGCTAAGTGCACAGATGCTGGGTGGCAGGACAGGGCTGCCATCTTTGGCCCTCTGGCAGGATTTCACCATTTCACTCTTCTGCATTTGGCATGCTTCTGGTGAGAGCCACAACATCACCCACTGCTGAATTGATGGGGGTCTTTGAGACTCAACAACCTAGTGACTGCCTGAGGAGTTTGGGTCAAATGGATCATGGATCACTTCAATACAAGTGCATAAACTTCAGACATACTACAGTTAGCTCTTAAGCAAGACTTAGAATGAGCTCTAACAAAGCCACACAATTAATATAAATTTATTGGTCTGGGGCTAGCTACAGATTGAATTGAGCATAAAGAAGGATTTTGAATTCTAAGGGAAAATATTATTCATAGAATTATTTGGTATTTCTTTAAGCAGGCTAGAATCTCAGAATTTTAGCTAAAGGCAAGCCCTGTTTGTTCCAGTATTAAACAGCTTCTATTTTTTTTAACATGATAGTTTATTTTATACAATTATGACCCAAGTAATTTAGAAATTCTGTCTAGAGTGAAAAAAATGGTCTCATCTTAAACAGACTCTCCATCAAAAAAGTAAAAACAATTGTGTGTCTGTGATTATAGGTTTATAGGTTTTTTGTTTGTTTGTTTGCTTAGGGGACTGTGGGCAGGTGGCAGTGACCTAGAATCTTGCAAACACCCATTATGTCCAGTCAAATCAGATCATCCACATCAGGTAAGCCATTTTGGTTTCTGAATATGAATAATCTATTTCACTCCTTGTTGTATAGATGCTGTCCCTCCAGGGCCCCAAAAGCAAGAGGGGTCAAATTGAATTTAATTCTGGGGCTGAATGGAAATGAGAAAGCAGTAGATGGGGAGAAATGAGGTAACTTTTAATGCTTCAGACATGCTCTCCTTTCTCCACCAGGATGCCAAAAACTAAGGTGAAAGATGTTTGAAGAAAAAAAAAATCACATAAGTTTAACACTGCTAACCCCTTTGGGGGGGTATTTTTTTCAATAAGGCTTTATGTTAAACTACTTTATTTGTCTTTTTAAAAGCCTTGTCAGTTTCTGTTTAATGGTTTTTTAAAGGTCAAGCTGAGGTTTTAGTAACTTAAGACAGCAGTTTGTAGCATATTCCATAAGCCAAAAACTCTAGATTTCCTCAAGGAAGTGCTTAATGAGCCAACAATGCTTGTTAAATATATTGATTTATGGAAGAAACGTGGAAAAATAAGTCTCAAAAGGGAAAGGACTGCGAGGTCATGGGATAGAGTGAAAGCTTCTCCTTGAGAAAAAGAAGTCTCACTGCTGGCAAGGAGGTGATTCCATGCGTGCCATCCTCCTCCCACCCTGAGACAGGGGGCAGGGGTTCTGCCTATGAGTGGAGAAGCTGAAAACATTAGGGGAGCCAGCTCCCAAGGCTGAAAAGAACCCAGAATCACGATGGGAGAGTCTGCTAGCTATGGGCAAAGTTGCCTTCCTTAAAGGGCTTTTAATGATAAGCAACACTGAGGCACTGATGGGGCGGAGATCTACACAGTCACCAGGTAAGTTCCGATTCTTAAATTAAAATATTCCAGGTTGGCTAAGTAAGGTTTCTCTAACTGCACAGCTCATTTAAACAGTGTTTAGTAGCGTGGGACAATGACTGCATTTAGCTATTTTAAAATTTCCAAGAAAAAAAGAATGCCAATCTCTGCCTCTCATTTAACCATGGCAATGGAACGGAGGGGGCCTACGACCAGCACTGCTGGTCATGTGGTGGCAGTGTACCTGGCTGAATGGAAAGTGGTGATGAGACAGTGAAGCGTCCTGAAAACTGGCCACTCAGCATCTTCCCTTACCTGCTATGCCCTCCTGGTTGTAGCAGGTCTTGTGCATTTTCCCCATGAAGAGCTCCAGGCCGATGATAGCGTAGATGATGATGACAAATAGCACGAGAAGGGCGATATGCAGCAGGGGGACCATGGCCTTAATGATGGAATTCAGAACCACCTGGAGACCTACAATGACAAGTCATAGTAACAACAGTGAGAACATCCACTTCCATTTATTGAACCACATGCAGTCTTGGATGCAGTACTGATACAATCTCATGCGATTTCTTAGCAGCTCTACCAGTGATGTATCACAAGCCCCATCTTTTAGATGAAGAGACTGAGTGACAGAGTGGGAATCTATATAAATCTAGGTTGGCCTGACTCCAAATCTCTCTTGGAGATACATCCAAAGGATTGACAGAGGCTATACTTCCAAGGGGAGGGACATGTTGTTTCATCCAGAACATCCAATTTTCTAATATCCCATCTTAGAGACAACCTAGCATCTTTTTCTCCTAGATCAGTGTCTTATTACAGAGAGGGCTCACTTAGGCTAGAGACAGTCATGTAAGGATTTATTGGTCACTCAAGAGCCTATAGCTGACCCATCTGCTATAAAACACATCAGACTGGTTGTACGGCATCAGGGAGGGTGGAACTTCCTTTACTGAAACTGACTCACACCCCCAAGAATCATTTGGATGGTGAGACCTCTTTAAGGGGGCCCAGGAAATAGCCCTGAAAGCAACTTCTCCAGATTACAGAAATGGGCCTCTCTTTCTACACATTTCTGACCAGGCCACTTTCCCTCAGGACATTACCGCTTCCATTCAAAAACTCCACTGAGGGGATTTTGTGTTTAATGGGTATGGAATTTCAGTTTGGAAAGATGAGAAAGCTCTAGAGATGGATGGTGGTGATGGTTGCACAACACTGTAAATGTCCTTAGTGCCACTGAACTGCATACTTAAAAATGGTCACTATGGTCAATTTTGATATGTATATATTACCACAACAAAAGAATTAAAGTACTCAGTTCCCTTCGGGGGGAAAAAGAGTAAATGAAAAACCCTATTTAGCACAGAGTTCTTATCAGTGTACCCCAAAGGTCTGTAGGAACTTTGGGATCATTGTAGGGCCCCCTTATTTATAAACTCAACCATAAATAACACACCAAGAATGCTCCTCATTTAAAGGGGATGTTGCCAGTTTTTATTTGCAAATGGCAGAGAGGTGGTCACCATCAAGTTAGTCCCATATTATCCCCCGTTCCAAGAAAGCTTTCTGTCAACAGTGACAGCACCAAGTCTTCACATCCTAGGAGAGATGTGGAGGAAGGGCAGGTTCTCTTCCTTATATCTAGGCCTATTGTGCAGAAAATCTTCTTGTGGGCCACCTTTGACACACGTATGATACGAAACCCACCTGTGAATCACACCACATAGGGTACATTAGTGTTGCTATCTGACCTACCCACCCACCACAGATATCCCTCCGCTTCTCTTCATGCTGGGAGCCTCGCCTTGGTATTCATCCATTGCCCTCTGTTCTGGGTAAACAAAGGATGGGTCACTCCCCTGACCTCAGGGCAGTCACTTGCACTTTGGGATTTGGTAGAGTGGTTTTCACAGGCTAATTAGAAGAATTCTTCCCAGCTATTAAGCCAAGCTGGGGAGAGAAAAATATAAATAAATAAAAGCAGAGAAAAGTTGGAATAATTTTACCTGTGAATTAATGAGAGTGCTTTGCAGCCTCCCATTAAACAAGATGTTTTCAGATCCAAATGATTCCATTAATTAGCAAGTTGTACACACAGAAGTGTTAAAGTATGCGAAGCCACGAGAAAGTTGAAAACTGAGCAGCAAAGCAACTTTCAGGGGTGTCTGCTGGGGGAGAGCACCCTAAGTGCTACTCACAGAAGGGGGAGGAAAACCCCCAAATCTAGGCTACGCAGGCCACAAGGGGGCTTTCCTGGCAGGCCTTCAGTGCCAGGGCTTCAGGTGGCAAGAAAATGGTGGAAGACAGGATGGGAAACCCTTCCTCTGAGCCTCAGCGAGGGTCTGCTGTTAGGATGAAGACCAGAATCTTACCTTGTGCTATCATGCCCTGTAGGGTCTACCTGCCTACCTTTCCACCCACTTCTGTCCCCTGTCCCTCACTCTCTGGACGCCTGGTCAAACATCTTTTCTTCCAGACTCACATATGCTTTACTTCTGCTCACCGCCCGGCCATCAAAAATGCTATTCCCTCAGCTGGAACGCTTTTCCATAATTCCCTCCTACTTACCCTTTGGCTCTCTGCCTAAGTGTCTCTCTTCCTGGGGGTCCGTCCCCAAGCGCCCAGACCAGAGAAGTTCCCTTTCTTACATGCCTTCTTAGAACCATTTCCTCTCATTTGGAACGTTAGTCTCAGTTTGAATCCAATTATATGTTCGTTAAGTGGTTTTTAAACATTTTCATCTGTCTCTCACATTGGGCTGAGTTTTATGAAGACAAGAACTGTCTGCTCTTTTCACCATTTTATGGCAGAGGCTTAGCTTAGTGCTGAGCACACGGCGGGCACTCAGTAAGTGTTTATTGAAGCAGTGGCACATCATCTAAGTAAATGCTGCTGCTATCATGGAGCTCTGGTGGGCTTTGCTGCAGTGAGTCTGCTGACAGGCAGGGATGTGGATGGTTGGGGAGTTTCAGAGGCCTGCAGACCCAGGCAGAGACTACTGAGCCGGAGGCAGAGGCCAAAAGGAAGTCAAAGCAGCCTGGGTGCGGCTGGGGGTGGGGTCCTTTCAGCGGTCAGGGATGACACAGAATTTCTAAACAGTGCTCTGTTCCCCTGGCCTGGCCTCAGTAGGTGGACACACCACCCACCTGAACACCCAGGCTGGAAGACTGATTCCTCGGATTCCTCCCTCCAACTAGTGACCAAGTCCTGCCAGTTTGATTCTGAAGTATTTTAGACAAGTATAAGTTATTTTTACTATATAAAGAACATATGCTAAACATAGAGAAAATAGAAAATACTTATTATAGAGAAATTGGAAAACATAGGGAAATAAAAGAGAGAAAGAAATCACCCATTATCCCACCACCCAGACATAACTACTGTTAGCCTTTTGGTATATATTTTGGATATTTTGATCCATGACTCGTTTTCCTCCTTTCCATCCCCTTGGCGTTTGTCTTTCGGTTAACTGGTCTCCTTACATTCAGTTTTGCCCAATCTTCATGCTGCAGTTAGAATGCTCTACTAAAGCACAAATTGGAATGTGTCGCTTCCCTACTCAAGTCCTCAGATGACTCCCTATCACCTACAGGTAAAGCTCACCTGCCTCCAGCCACAGTTTGATCACATCTGATCCCAGTTTACACCTTAATTCCAGCAATACACCAAACTGTCCAAACTTCTGCGACTTCAAGCTTCCCTGTCTCAGCACGTGCTGTTCCCCCCTGCCTAGAATGCCATTCCTGACCCAACAAAGAGCTCTGGGAGCCTCATCTCATCTTTGTGTCTGGATTCAATGCACATGGAGCTAAATCACATTTGTAAGCACAGGCAGCCTCAGAAGACAGAAACCATCATGATAGACGAGTTTGAAATATTCAGTGATCTTTAGAAGGAACTTAGGTGTATTGTCAGGAAAAGATAAGACTCATGCAATGGGAAAAATTACAGCCAGGGAGGGTAACATCAATGATTTTCACCTGATTTAAACTGTAATTTTGAGGAAGTGGAGTTAGAGGAATTCTGTATGACTATAAGGTTAGAACTAGGACCAACTAGGAAGTATTCAGAACAGATTTAGGTCCAACACAAATAAAAACTGTCCAAGAAACAGACTCATGTAAAGGTGGAGTGGGATGCATTAAGAGGTAATAGGCTCTCCATCCTCAGAGGTAACACAAGTATTAACTAAATAAGCTCTTGGAGGAGATGTCTCAGTGGGGATTCAGCCATTGGGTAAAAGATTGTCCTGGCACACCAAAGCCTCCCACACTCCAATTAACATATTTTGAAGACTTCCTGTGGGTCACATGCAGCTCTCAGCACCACTTGTACCTTTCCATTTCCTCCTGGCAACAACGCTATGAAGTAGGTACTATTGTTAACCATATTTTACAGACGGGAAAAGAGGTTCAATGGCCCATCTATAGTTACACAGCTGCTAACTGGTGACATGGAATTTAGTGCCAGGTGGCCTGGCTCCAGAGCCTGTGGGCTTCACCACAGTGCTAAATGCCTCCCCATGCCCTATAGACTGTGGCTCTTAGGCTCCATGATCTGTGTCTATAAAGCAGTAACACATGCCTACAACATCTGCCAGGAGGCGCGAGAACCTAGTCCCTGCTTCCAGGGGAGCCTGGATGCTTCCAAGGCTATTTCCAGGAAAGGCTTCCGGTTTCTGCCTGCTCTCCCTACAGCCAGCCTGGGACAGCAGAAGCCAGGCTGGTGTGTGAAGTATTTCTTCTCTCCAGTCCATCACAAGGATTTGGCTTTCAAGGCTTGGATGCTTAATAGCTTCTTCTTGGAATTGACTTGCAGTTGTCCCAGAAACAGCTCCTCCAGCTCAAGTTCTAATTGGGAAAACACAGTGAGATTTTCCCACCCAAGTGTTCTCAGATAGGACATGCTTATGGCTGATAAGCAATTGCTAGGCCCTTCGCCAGGACTGGCTGATCATGTTGGTAGAAGTAAATGGGCCCTAGATAAGCCCAGGAAAGTAACTGCTATAAAATGCCCTGTGGACACAAGATCATTACAGGCCAACAAATATGACGATTCTATTTCCCTAGCTTGAAATCAGGATACAAGATGTGACAAATACATGAGTACTTATGGGGACAATAGGATAGAATATTTGACATGAGAACTACACTGGGAAATTTGGAACATACGGTTCCACAGGAATTAATATATAATCTAGAAATCCAGTCTCTGCTAATTTGCAGTTTGTGTCAGATGATATCCTCTTGGTGGATGGAAAACTCCCAAGATGCTTGGCTGCCAGACCTTCCAAGAAAATGAGGCTTTGGGAAATGGCATCATTAAATGCTGGGATTAGGAAAAGGACAGAGATAGAGCTTAGCTAGCATACATGGCTTTTCCTTTTCTCCCTCTTATGTTGCTGTAAGGCCCTTTGGACAAATGTATCCCTTCTGGGTCTAACTTGAAAATTCCAGGTTAGGAAA